GTAGGGAAGTCAGGTGTCAAGACAAGGGCGTGCACGGGACAGGCCCAGCCCGGGGCAGCAGGGAGTTCCTGGGGGCATCTGAGACCTGAGTTGCAGGTAGGAGTTAACCCAGCAAAGTTGAGGGAAAAGCGTGCAGGCAGCGGGACAGCACGTGCCAAGGGCCAGGGGTGGGGACAGGATTTGTGGGTGGCGTGAGCAGTGGTTCTGGGTGGGAGCAGAGTAGGGGGCCTGGGCCTGGGATGCCCTGACTCTCCTGCCGCCCTGCAGGGGGACGGGGGCACCCCCCTCGTCTGCAACGGCCTGGCGCACGGCGTGGCCTCCTGGTCCCGGGGGCCCTGCGGCAGGGGCCCCGACTTCTTTGCCCGCGTGGCAGTCTTCAGAGACTGGATTGACTCAGTTATAAACCAGCCAGTCGGATGTGCGCCAGCCTGATGGACCCCCAGCCCAGCCGGTGGGGGGCGCATGAGCTGCCACGGAGCCAGCCCCCCACGCCTCTGTCGCATCCCACAGCCCCACCCTGGCCCACGCAGTTGTGACTCTAATAAAGGATCTGTTCCCATTCTGTCCACAGCACCTGATTTCTGCTTTGCGGGGGCGGGAAGGGGCTGGGGGCCAAGCACAGGGACATCTTCCGGCAAGAGTGGCATCCACCCCAGGGGCCTCCACTCACGGAATCCGCTCACAGCCCTGAGGACCAGGGGCTCTTGTTATCTCCACCTGACGGAGGTGGCGCCAAGGCTCAGAGAGGTTGGGTGACTACCCTGAGGCCACACAGCCAGAGTGGGCTCTGAACCCACATCTGTGAGAGTCCAGGCCCCCTTAACCGTCTCTCATTTTGGTCGAGAATACAGTCACCCCATAGTATCTGCAGGGGCTTGGCTCCAGGACCCCGGTGGATACCCAAGCCCACGGATGCTCAAGTCCCTTATATCAAATGCCACAATATTTGCAAGTAACCTACACACATCCTTCAGTGCACTTAAAATCATCTCTAGATGACTTAAAATACCTGATAAAATGTAAATGCTGTGGAAATATAGTTGCCCGCCTATAGCAAATTCAAGTTTCGCTTTTTAGAACTTTCTGGAAATTTTTTTCCCACATTTTTTTTTTTTTTTTTTTTTTTTTGTTTGGCGGTACGCGGGCCTCTCACTGTTGTGGCTTCTCCCGTTGCGGAGCACAGGCTCCGGACGCGCAGGCTCAGCGGCCATAGGTCTAGCCGCTCCGCGGCATGTGGGATCTTCCCGGACCGGGGCACGAGCCCGCGTCCCCTGCATTGGCAGGCGGACTCTCAACCACTGCGCCACCAGGGAAGCCCTTCCCAAATATTTTTGATCTGCGGTTGGTTGAATCTGCAGTTGGTTGAATCCGAGAAACTGGCTATAGACTACTTGCCACTTGAATCGGTTAAAGAGCCTTATGTGAAAGGAACTAAAATATAAATGTTAAATAATAAATATAATTTTATAGGGACTTCCCCGGAGGTCCATGGGTTAAGACTCCACGCTTCCACTGTAATGGGCACGGGTTGGATCCCTAGTTGGGGAAATAAGATCCCACACGCCCCGCAGTGCAGCCAAACTATATATATATGTATTTATATATTTATATAAATGATATATAAAACATGACAAACATAATCATATAAATAACATACAAAACATAATAAAAATAATTATATAAATGATATATAAAACATAATACACAGGGGCTTCCCTGGTGGCCCAGTGGTTGAGAGCCCGCCTGCCGATGCGGGGGACACGGGTTTGTGCCCCGGTCCGGGAGGATCCCACATGCCGTGGAGCGGCTGGGCCCGTGAGCCATGGCCGCTGAGCCTGCGCGTCCGGAGCCTGTGCTCCGCAACGGGAGAGGCCACAGCAGTGAGAGGCCCACATACCGAAAAAAAAAGAAAAAAAACCCAAAATACATAATATAGTTTATTAAACTAAATAAAATTGTTTCATTAAAATAAAAATTAAACCATACATTACATTACATATTAGTATTTATTACATATTGTACTTGTATTTTTAAAAATACATACTTAGGGGCTTCCCTGGTGGCGCAGTGGTTGAGAGTCCGCCTGCCGATGCAGGGGACGTGGGTTCGTGCCCCGGTCCGGGAAGATCCCACATGCCGCAGAGCGGCTAGGCCTGTGAGCCATGGCCGCTGAGCCTGCGCGTCCGGAGCCTGTGCTCCGCAACAGGAGAGGCCACAACGGTGAGAGGACCGCATACAGCAAAAAAAAATATATATATATATATACTTAATAACTCATAATAAAATATAACAAATCCATTGTGTAAATATTATACATTAATATTTATATTTATAATATACTTACCTTATATATTTATAATATAATACATATAATGTGCACCTAAAATCAGTAAGGAAAAAAATTAGAGCCCAGTAGTAAAAAAGTGGGTCACGGATGTAAACAGTTCACGGCAAAGAAACACAGAAGGCTCTTGACGATGTGGAAACACTGCCCCTCACCCAGTGCGTGAGAAATGCCTGCCGGCCTTCTGGGAGGTGGGCTTTTCACCCAGGGGGGTAATCACGAAGCCTGCCATCTGCGGTGTCTCGTCTGGGGTGGGGGGGACGGGGTGGCAGGGACGGGTCGGGCATCCGAACCAGGTGCCGCCCTGGGGGCTGCCCACGTGTCACCTTGCA